TAGAATTTTAAGAAGAAAAGTTACGTTTCTTCGTGTGCGTCAATGATGCAAAATGTATAGAGAAGAGAAAACATTTTGTTTATCTTGTTCGGGATGGTTGTAATCATGTTAATTATAATTTTGAATCAAAAGTGAAAGGCTATGATTTTATTATTAAAGATTGTATCTTTAAATTTTTTTTCCACTGGTATGAAGTTGGGAATGGAATTCGGATCTTTTTTTTTTTTAATTTTGATGATATCGTGTTATTTGAAATTACAATTTTAAATGATGAAAATGTATCAATGTAATCTTTTTTAATGTTAATAGATGTAATGGATGAACAATGGAAAGTGTATAATAGGCATGAAAAGTTCCAATACCTTTCCGTTATGGTCATTACGAAGTGTACGACTTCGTATTATTCTACTTCTTGCGGCTGCGCTTTGTATCGAAGGTTTAATGCGTAGCAATATGAATATGGCAATGGTATGTATGGTGAATTTAACTGCTGTTATGCAGTTTGAACAATCATTTACCGGTAAATTCCATACTTGATAAGTATTACTACTGACGTCAGCTGAACGTTGCCAATTGTCACTTCTAAGAATGCTTATTTTATCTGTAAACTACTGACGGTAACTTTTAAAAGATTTGCTGCTGGTGGTTATCCATCATAATGACACCTGTTGCGACATTTCGCAGCAAAGTTTATTGTTCTGCATGGATGAAGCTAACAGCATGTGTAAGCCATATTAAGTATTTTGAAATTACGGAAATCTTTTTAGCTCAAAAGCCGGAAGAGTCGCTAGTGAACCATACTTACAGCATTTTGCGAAATTCATGTGCCAAAATATTTGAACGTAAACGAAGTTACGTAAGTTCACTGCTTTTAATAGATGATAGTATTTCACTGATCATTCACATTTTGCTTCATTTACAAAAGAGTATTCTGAATTGCTGTCATTTACAAAAAGGATAGATAGGTTGTCATTTTTTTATTTTATTTTTTAACAATTTCTTATTAGTTTTTACATTGTCTTTCAATATTGTCCACTTTAGAATGGTGAATTGCTGTGGACAAGTGAAGAACAGGCATGGATTTTTGCTGCATTTTACGTTGGTGGTCTGATTGTTCTCTTTCCAGGAAGTAAGTATTAGTAATTTTTAGATTTTCATAACTGGAAGTGGGAAAACGAGTAACTAATTGATGTTGTTATAAGGGAAAGTATTATGTATTTGAAAAATTTGGCAGTTCTCTTGATTATTTGAGAAGTTATTTTTTAGGCAACTTATTTTAGAAATATTTCAGGTTACCTATGCGACTGGATAGGACCAGCTCATACGGTACAAAGTGGGGCAATTATTAATATTATCGGTTCAATAACTACGCCTTATATTTCACGCAAAGTTGGTGTCATGGGCATAATTGTCATACGGTTTTTGATGGGTTGTGGCCAAGGTGTACTGATGCCATGCATGAATGTACTTATTGCTTATTGGTTTCCGTTATCGGAAAAAAGTACGGCTGTTGCCTTAGCAACTACTGGTAATCAGGTACCACTTTTCGAAACACTCTTGATTCTTGAACCGTTCATGTGTCGCATTTTTGAAAATCCAGCAAATACACGAATTTATATATCGTGAAATTTTTATTCCCAAAATTTTTAGGACAAAATAAAGATTAAATTAAAACTTTTTTCAGTTATCCATAATTTTTGCAATGTTCATCACAGCAGAACTCTGCCAGATGTCACTTTTTGGTGGTTGGCCAGCTGCATTTTATCTCTATAGTGAGCTGTTTTCAAATGTTATTTTAATGACTGCTAGTTGTATTTCCTGAAAACTCTTAAGACCCAAATATGAAAATTCTTCCTCAAGTAGTTTTAATTGTTAGCTATGTCGTCAACATTCATGGTTGATAATTTAGGGAAGAATTTCCACTTTTATGCGAATCAAATTTTGTCAATTTTTAGGCTTATTAGGCATTGGTTTGTGTTTTGGATGGTTTATAGTGGTTAAGGATGTACCAACTAGTGTGAAACATATCACAGATACTGAACTGACTTATATCACTGGTTCGGCACAAGGACGTGGTCAGAAACGCGTAATTCCTGTGGTCAGTATTTATAGCTTAATAAAATTTAATTATGAAAATACTGAACGTTACATTTATTTTTTGTATAAATAATTTTTTTCACGTTAATATTCAGCAAAATATTTCAGAATGTTCCATGGCGAAAAATATTATCGTCAACTGCTGTTTGGTCTACGGCATTAAGTTCATTTTGTCACTCATTCGTAGTTGTTGGTACCGTGACTTACTTACCTCTCTATTATCGCACTATACTTAGTATGGATCTCACTTCTGTAAGCAATATCCATTATCGCATCAAAACTGATAATTACTTTTACTTCAACTTTTTCTTTCATGTTGAATGTAGATTTTTTTCAAATCAAATTAAATACTGAAGTAGTTGCGAAATAATGTTAGTTTCGATTTATATTTACGCTCGTAAATTTAAAATGTTAACAAATGAAATTCTTGCCACTCTTATGTTTTCTGTTGTTTATTTGAATAGCTGTAATATTTGGTACATATTGCCGTAAAATTTGACTAGAACATAGTAATAGCAGTTGAGAGATTTACACTTTAAAAAACTTTACTATATATTATCACAGCAAATATCTCATGCCAAATAGATCTATTCACTAGGTAGATTTAAGCGAATAAGTTGACAGCTCGCTTCCTGAATGCATTTCAGGATTCGATGTATTCAACATGCGTTTATGCTACTGAGACATCATGTATTGAATGATCGGATAATTTTGGTTAGCCTCCCAATCTATTCATGTAGTATAGTGTTGTTTCAGAACGGTGTACTTTCGGCATTGCCTTTCATTTGTCAGTTAGTAAGTAAATTGGCATTTGCGGGTCTCGCAGACAAAGCAAAGGAAGTCGGGTTTTCTCCAAATCAGGTTACAAAGATGTGCAATTTATGCGGTAAATTTTCCATTTTTGGAATGTAGCTCATATGAAGATTAGCTGAGGTGTAATTTTCATTTTTAATTCGATTCTAATAAATTGAAAGTTAAAAAGTTGTCTTAGGTTTATATGAATTTAAAGCTTGTTTACAGCATCACTTGGTGGAGCATGCTGCTTTACTGCATTAATATTTTTTGACTGCAGTCATCGGAATAAGGCAGTATTTTTCATCTGTTTGGCCATGGGTATTTTATCTGGCTTTGTTCCAGGATATAATACCAGGTTCCTTCGCATAATTCCAATAATTTTAGCCATCATAAAACGGAATTTTTCCGGCATTGTTTAAAAGCTTTAATGAAAGCAGTGCTAATTAGATTTATTGAAAAATGGGATTTCTTTTGATAACTTAAGGAGAAAAGATTTTTTTATAGTCAATATTTCATAGTTCCAAGTTTTAATGAAGTTATTGTCATTGTTAATTTCAAAAGTTGAAGCAAATATTTGCAGTATTGTATGTATTGCTCCAAAATATACATCATCAGTGACTTCATTCTGTAGACTTTGGGGAACAGTTGGTTCCATCACCTCACCTTATATTATTGGAATGATCACCATAAAGGTTTTTCCTACTTTACAACATATCTTTCAGTCAAGTTTAATATACGCTTATAGAAAACATTAAATTAGCTTTAAAATACTTTTCCGCTGTGGTATATACATTTCAGAAGATAGAAAGTTCTCATGCATACTTGCAGTAGTAAATAAAATGTTAAGCTCAGAAGCTAATCTACGGAAACGAAAGTAGATATAAGTGAATATTGATATTTTCCAGTGCACATAAAAGTTGATATCCTTAGTGTTGTATAGGGCATTAAGCAGTGGATCATTGTCATAAGAAGTGAAGTTTGCTAAGTTGGAAAAATTAGTTGTATATTTTTAAACACTTTTTATTCATAATTTTAGAGTGTTATGTCAGAATGGCGTACAGTGTTTATAATTATGATATGCGTGTTAACATTGACCGGTGTAATTTTTCAATTATTTGGTACAGGTGAGCGGTTGTTTTTTTTTTAAAGTTCTCTTTCCCATATTCGTTTGGAATTTTATATAATCTGATTTCTTTCTATCTAATTTTAGTGGGTCACTTTCAAATTTGAACTTTATGATTCATAACTTTCCGATGTTATTGGATGTTTTACAGTAAACGAACAGGAATGGGCCCAAGATGCATCCGGTGTTACAATCCTAAATTACATGAATTCACTGAATGAAAAAGAAACAGACAGGGCACTGAAAGTAGAGTTGGAAAAAGGTGTTTAGTGAAAAGACGAAACAATTTAACGAAACAGTGATGGACAGCATCAAGTATTATTACATTTTGTTAATCAAGCTTACAATTAATCGAAATGACTTTTTACAGAATTTACAAACGTGTATCTACGATTTTAAAATTTGAAATTTGAGAAATTTTTGTTCTATTAGTAAAATGCGATTTTAAAGTAAAGTAAATGCGATTTTCATACTGTTGGCTATTTCACATTAGAATATATTCTTAGATAAATGTTGTATTATATTCAATCCTCATTTCTTGTTTTATGGCTTTTGTTTATGTTTGTTTGTTTGTTTGTTTGTTTTTTATAAGGAAATTATGTTAAATAAGACGCAAATTCGAGTGATTTTTCTTATGAAGTTTAAAATGTCCATTAAGCAGCAAAGGAAATTTTCAATATCAACGATATATTTGAGTGGATCTAGAAGAATGAATCTGAAAGCTACGAAGGAAATGAGTCAGTTATCGGAAGTTGTTAGATGATCAGATGTAAGCAATTATTGAAGTTCATTTCCTCTTAATTACATAACAATTTGATGAAGAATTCAATATCAAAGATTGTGCGATCATTTAGCATTTCATGCAAATTAAAAAGAAAGCGGTTGATTCAGAAAAGTTGCTCTCTGAAATTATCTTCATTTATTCCACACGGTGCAAACAACTATTTTGGGAGTGGATTGTGATTTTCGACATAAATGATTTGAAAAATTTTGAATTGAGGGTGGATTGTTACATTCGAAAAGTGTACTCAGCAAATTAATATAATTCAACAAAAACTTTTTAATTGTCATTGATTAGCAGAAGGAGCCCAATTTATCGTGACAATTTTCGACTACAGATCAGAAAACCAACATTTGAAAAGTTGAATTGATTAGTCTACGAAACTTTGTCTTACTCCATATGTATTTAATATTTCACCCTTATTGCTACTTCTTCATCATTATGATATCTCCTTGAAATGAAAGAGATGTTTTAAAATCCAGCAAAAAAATGAAAAATACTTCTGAGAAGTTCATCAAATCCTGATAAATAAAAAGTGTTTCTAATTGACATCAGTTGATTACCACGCACCATCTAAAAACAAAGTCTAACTTCATAATTGATTTATCCAGAAAATAATAGGCAAAATTGCGCGATATTCACAAATATTCTTAAAATCATAATTTATCAATCGTTAAGTTCCAGTGTTTAATCTAATAAATCACGAATAATTGTGTGTGTGTGTGTGTGTGTGAGATGATAAGGTCATCTGTTTTTAACTGAGAGCAATTCTGTTCTTCTTGCTAGCATTAGATAGGCTTAAGAAGATGTTAAATATATCATTGCTATATATCATAAATGTATACATTGTGTTATTTGACGATCTGTCAGTTTTTTTTTTCTTTTTTTAGAGTTCCTCGAACATTTTAACTTTATTCATTTCCACTATACGATATATAATAAATCAATGTTCGCTTTTTAAATCAATTTATTTATGGAATAAATTTGAAAATTCTTAGAAAATGATTGCATGTAATATTTTTTAAGTAAATGAAACTATTTGCAGTTACTGCAACTATCATATTTGTTGATCGAGAGTATAGAATGTTAATTAGAAATGTTTTCAAAAATAAGTGCTACTTTTTTTTATAATATAAATAAAATAAACGGAAAGATGGTACTAATCATTTTAATTACAACGTAAATTTTCAAATTTTTTATTTTTTTACATATGTTTATGTTTTTTTGCATATGTTTATGCAAAAATTTTCAAATCTTTTTTCGAGAGGATAGCATGTTAATTAGAATTTTTTTTCTCATAAAATTTACAAAAATAATTTCCTGAGGTTTCACCTATAAATGAAAAATTTTTACTTCCAAAAAATTTTGTAGTTGAAATATATTAGTTTAATTTCATGCAAAGTAAATAAATCTATTAAAATTTACATGTCGTTGAAATATAAAATTTTTCTTTAAGCTTATAGTTTCTTTAAGAAAAAAAATAATCCATGAAGATAATGCTCAAAATTCGTTCCACAAACAAAAAAAAAAAAAGAAAATTGAATTTCATAATTTACAAAGAAGGCGATAACATTTCCGCATATGACAAGAAAAATATAATTTTAAAATTATTTGTTGACAGAAAATACCGAAGTAGTGGAGAAGTTAAACATATCATTCCACTGGGAAATTTACTCCACCCATCTTTCAACAGACAAAAAAAAGTTATATACATATGTACATATGTGCACTTGTGTATGTGTATGTGTGTATGTGTGTGTATGCGTGCATATATATGTGTGAGTATGTGTGTATGTGTGTGTTTGTATGTATATGATTAGGTATATATATGGATATGTATGTGGTTGGTAAATGTGGATATATGTTTGTGTTTTACGCACTTTTAAATTCTAAAGAAATATTTTTTTTTTGGCTATTTTCAAAAAAATTCAATTCGTTTGTGAACCGACTAAAATTAGCTTTTCTCCAATTTAGTTGCTCTTATTTTCTTTTTCTTTTTAATTTTCATTATCTTTATTATATCAATAAATTATTAAGACAATTTTTAAAGATGAGAAGATCTGAACAAAATTTTAATCTGTTTGGATTATATGATAACCATATATAGATATATACATATGTAATTTCTATTAATATTAGGATGATGTAATGCTTATTATTTGCTTAGCCTTCCTCTTTTACCTTCTAAAACATGACGTTGCTCTTGCCTTTTTTTTTTTTGAAACCATTTTTCCGGAAGGAACTTATTGCAGATAGATGTCAAGACGCAATCGATCCATCGAAGAAGCTTTTCTTTTCAAGCCATGCTTTTCCTGTTTCCAAACATTCCCATATTCCTCAAAATAATAAGGTTTTTGAAGAATTATAACAAAGAAAAAAATAAATAAATAAATAAAAAGCTCTATCAATGAGATGATAAATTAGGATTTCTTCATCCTCTTCTTTCTTCCATTTCCTTATTTTAAATAAATTTCGAAATTACCGGATTATTCCGTAATCCGGCAAAATAAATGATGTTACTGGATTAGAACAAATAATATATGCAATCTGTCGACTTATAAAAATTCCTTGAAAAACAAAAAGAAAATTATAAACAATAATCTATTTTTTCTTCAAATTACAATGATTTGTATAATAATTTTAGGTATTATTTAAAAAAAAAAAAGACAAAGGCAATATGTTCAGCTAATAACTGATGGTTAATTATTTGGAGGGTGCGCAGGCATTAGCTGAATGTTCACCTTCACCATCGCTTAATATATCGCCAATACAACAGCAAAAACCTGAGAGGTTTTCGAAGGTTAACTTTATTGGTAAGCTATATGATACATTTACAGAGTTTTATTTTAAGAATGACAAAAAAAAGTAAGTATAAAAAGGGATTTTAAAAATTTGTTACTTATCATTTTGTTACTAAAAAATAAATTAGCTGTTCGAAATTCTTGCCCAAAACCGGAAAAAAAAGGGAAAACATTTTCAAAACAAATATATCAGTAAAATGAATGTAATCACTTTTATAATGAAGTTTGAATTGATGCTGAAAAGAAATCAATTCTGGAGTGCAAAGTCTTTAAATTTGTATAGATGAAATGTTTTCTTTTTTCTTTTCTTTTTGAAAATTTGTGAGAATTAAATTTTATTTTTTAATAGACGAATTTTTTCATTACTTTATTTTTTTTAATCAGACAATCCACAACGGGATAATACAATTGGATATAAACAAGTTGAAGATATCATTGAAGAAAACAATCACTGCATGAAACATAAAATTAGATTTAGCAATGCATCCGCGCAATTGTCGCAATATCGCTGTTGCTGCAGCCTTATGCATGCTGCGGTAGGTATTACAATATATTATGTTTTTTCTAGCCGGAAAATTTAAAATCATTATTTTGATTTATGTATTTTCTTTAGTTACTGATCATACTTTAACTAGTCAGTTGTGCATATACAAGTAAATGTTATGTTTTTGGATATTTCCGCTTTTACTTTTAGAATTTGCATATTAAAAATTAACATTTAAAAGTTCAATGAAAAACTTTTTTCCAGTCTTTTTTCTCTATTCAGGTTTAATTAAATATAATTTTATCATAAACTTTTTGCTAGTTTTTTTTTTTAAATTTTGAATATTGTCGCATTAGCTGAACAAAATAATATGTAGCAATTTTTTACATCTATTCCGTCCTGAAATAACGGATTTTTTTTAAAACTCTCTAATCATCATATTACACTGATTGTTCTCGATCAGATAAAGAATTATTTCATATTTATTTTCATCATGTTTTGCTGTTTCAGACTGGTACTAGGTTATTTCTGTTAATTTATGTGGCCTTATCAGTTATCACTTGTACATTTGCGATAAAATCAGCTATGCTTTGGTCTGCAGTACCACTTATAATCACTTTGCTAAGTATTTACGCATTGTACACGGAAAAACACAAATATTTATATCCATTTTTAATTATATCGGTTTGTTTCATTGTTACTTTCCGTTTCTTTTTTCCCTTTTCTTCAGTTTATTAAATTTTGTAAAAAATTTTATAAAATAATTTTGTTACAAAAAGAGAATTAAAAACAGTAAAGTATGTGCTTCAATGACTTTTTCTCTTTCCATATAATTTTACAAATTTCAGAGTGTTCATATAATACTTTGTATTATGATTGTACTCATAATAATCACATTTACAGCTGCCAGTTATGGTACTTTTAGACAAATTGTCGGTAAGTATCAAATAAATCAAGAATTTTATCAAAATTTTTCTTTTTTAATACTTTCCTTTATGTCAACCGTATAGAAATGTACATAATTTTGAATGATTTTCCATAAAGTGAATCATAATAACATCAAATATCATTAAACGAAATCAAACATTAGCTATCATCATTTTGCTGGATCAAATCTTGATAATTTTAAAATTTCAATAAATTTTGCAATTTCCGAAAATGTCAAGAATATATGGTAACAGATTAAGAATCGATTAATGTAAAT